GCACTGTGCCGAGAAGAAATTTTGGCCTTTCCGAGTCAAAGAAAAAAAAAGCCACAATCCATTAGCGATGTCGGCCAAGGACCCGAGTTAGCAGAGTGGGGCCACATGTGCTATTATTAGTAACCGTGAGAACTTCCAGGCTAGTGGTCTTTCCGGGAGCTTATTGTTTGTCAAGTTAACTCATTACTTCTTTAGACAGCTCTGTCTATTAAGTTATGCTTTATATTTTGAGCTGAAATCTTATTTCCTGTAGCTTAAAACCACATGACATAATGATTAAGTTTAGTTCCATTTTAACTCGGCAGTGTTTGAACTATTCTGGAACATTCTTCTGTCCTACCCACGTCTAAAACATCACCGGCTCTTCATCAGCTCCTCACAGGGCACGGTCTCCACCCTTTGTCCTCACCACTCACCACGGACAGGCACTGATCTGTCTCCTCCCTGCTCCGCTGTGGCACAGTAAAGCTGTCTGCGGATGTCACGTTGCCAAAAGCATCACTCCGGAAATGCCTTACAGAGTTCCATCTTTGGTTTTCAGAATCTCTGCCTTCATTTTTAATTCAGATATTTAATCTTGAGCTCAGTCTGGTTAGTTTGTTGAAATCTTCAAAAATCTAGTTATGAGCCACATCTGGGTCGACTGAAAAGACAAAGAACTCATGGACACGGACAGCAGTTTGGTGATTGCGGGGTGAGGCGTCAGGTGGGTGGAGGTAGAGGAGCGTACGGGGAATAAATGGTAATGGAAAAAAACAATAAAAAATGAATTATTGCCCTGACCAGTATGGCTCCATTGGATGATGTTCCACAAAGCGAAAGATCACCTGTTCAATTCCCGGTCAGGACACATTCCTGGGTTGTGGGTTCAGTGGGACCCCCAGTCAGGCACACACGAGAGGCAACCAATCGACGTTTCTCTCTCACATTGATGTTTCACTCCCTCTCTCCCTCCCTATCTCCTCACTCTAAAAACAAATAAATAAAATCTTTTAAGAAATGAACTATTTAAAAAATTAATAAATAAATGGATTTTCCAGAGCATACCACTGTCTTCCCACATTTCCTGGTCCTGGATGCTGCTAGCCAGAGAAAGCACAAAAAAGACTCAGAGGAGCCTTCCTGATCCTTCAGTGGCTTCTCAAGTCCACTGACAGGCTTTCCATCTTACCGAGAGAACTTGCGATCTCACATCTGAGCCCTGAGGGGCACTAAGCCACACACTCTGAGACAACTTGTGCTCATTGGCAGAAATGAAAAATGGGCCACCATGGACTGGCTACACACAAGTCCCAAGGGAAGCTTTCGTCGTTCACTCAACATGTGTTGCAAGGACTGGACTGGGTGACTGAGGAAATGAGAATGAATGACATAGTGGCCATGTCAGCAAGTACACAGTATCTCAAAAGTAAAACACATAAATAACTCAAGTAGAGTGATCAGTGAGCTACGAGGAGCCATGGGAGTTGAGAGAAGGGGTGGGTTTCTTTCGTTCAGTTGAGGGGATGGTGGCGAAGACAGCGGAAAGGAAGTGATATTACAACTTAACAGAGGAGGCAAAAGCAGGCGGGACTGGAAGAGAGGAGAAGTGAGAAAAGCATAAATACCAGTGGGTTGAGTAATTTGATTCAGATGAAGCACGGGGTTCACGAATACCATCAGTGGGAAATAAAGTTCAATGTCCCACTAACAGGAGGCTCCTCCACTGTTTCCCTTTCTTAACATTTAAATGTACTGGTTTGCAGCCTCTCTTCCTTCCTGCAGTGAATCTCCAGGCTGAGGTTTCTAATCCTCATTTGTCTTCCATCTCCCTGTTGCCCCTGGTAACTACCACTTCCCCTAAACTACCTAATCTACCTCGAGCAAGAGAGCCCGTGTGACTGATGCCTAAGGAGTGTTGGCGAAAGCAAAGCATGATGTTCAGGCAACGGTTCAGTGTCTACATCATAGCTAATAACAGAGTGGGGGATCAAATCACCTTCTTGGTGCTCACCTGCGGAGGGGCAAGGGGGAGGTGACGAGGGAGCCTATGGAGGAGTGAAGGTGTGAAGTACAGCGCAGGGAACACAGTCAATGACTGTGTGTGAGGCCAGGTGGGGACCTGAAACACGGGGGGCCCGCCCTGTAAAGTACATGATTGTCCAGGGGTGTCCAACCTTCTGGCATCTCTGCGCCGCCACACTAGGATAAAAGTTGTCTTAGGCCACACATTAAATACCTTGCAACACATAATCACAAAGAAATTTCATAATGCTTTAAGTACGTTTACAGTTTTGGTCGGGTTGCATTCACAGCCATCCTGGGCTGCACGTGGCCCATGGGCTGCAGGTGGACACCCTGGACCACTATACTGTACGCCTGAAGCCAGTACAGAATAATACTGAATGAAAACTGTGAAAAAATTTAAATATCCCCCCCACAGAAGAGGCATGAGCAGAAGAAAGGGACCGTGGACCCCGGAGAGCCATAGGATCAACCCAAGGAACTCGGCCTTCCTGTGTTTGTTCATTCATTCTTGCAAACACTCATTCATTCACTCATTTATCCCTGTCCCTCCTTGCATCCCTCCCTTCCCTGCCGCCATACATCCAAAGGCCCACAAACCCAAATTCCACAGCAGTGCCCCTTAGGCCTCAGCTTCCACATCATTTCATCGGCCCCTTGTGATTAACCTGGGCCCATACAGAGCCCCTTTCGAAAATGCATCACAGTGTGACTTCTCATCTGGTGACTTCTCTGCCACACTGCAAGCTCCTTGATGTAAAGAGCTGTCTTCTTACTGCTGTGTCCCTGGGACCAAGCACAGTCTCAACTCAGTAAGTAGCTGGTCAGTGAATAAAGAACATACTACACAGAAAACTGGTATGACCTGAACTCCCTAGGATTCTGTAAGACCCAAGATTGTTATGGCCAGGATTGCTAACTATTCACCAAAGTTCATTTGCTCCACTCATCTGGGACAAGGCTATACTCATTTCCTAACCTCCCTTCTATTTAGGGGTAGATATGCCTGAGCTCTGGTGAACGTGATATAAGTGGAAGTGACTATGCCACTTTCCCACTGACCCGTTAAAATCCTCCTGTGCTTTGCTTCCACACTCTTCTTCCCCTCTGTCTGGACTGGAGACGAACCCTCGGGGCACCTGAGAAGCCCCGCGTGGCTCCCTGGGACTCTATGGGGAAAAGAGCCACCCTCCAATCTGTTCATAAAAGGACTAAACTTCTCTTAAATATCGGAGCCATCACACTCTTGGGAGTCCATGTGTTACAGTAGTTAACCTAATCTAACTCACCCACTAAGTGACAGCTGACACTGAGCTCTCCCAACCTTCAACAGCCGGCAGCTGTCACTTTTCTAAGGAGAAATGGAGGCCCTCCAGAAGGGAGTACAATCTTCCTTCACTATGTAAGACTGAACGAAAGTTCTTTTCGCTTGTGATCTTCAGGAAAAGAGAGTGACCTTGCCTTAGGCTGGTCTGGGCTTGGGCCACAGCCACAAAATAGGCTGGGCCAACTCCGGTGATGCCAGAACACTGCTTGCCTTGACCCACTGAGAAGTACAAGTCACACCCCCCAGATCTTGGCCAAACGCCCATCTGCCTTCTCTAGTCTGGCCCTGGCCTCATCGGTGCTTACTTTGCAAAAATGCCACGAAACACTGCCCCGTTGTTCTCGGGGGAGAAGCTGCCAAAAGCTTTTTCCGAAAGCCACAGCAACCTGCACTGCCACGGAACAGCAGCACCAAGTAACTCGCCTTCTGCATAAAGCCTTCAGCAGACCCGAAAGAGACACAACCACAGACAGAATTCACTTCCCCGTGGCAAAGCTCTTGTTTGCCTCTTGCTATTGTCTCCACTGAACACCAGAGACTTCAAAGCGAACTCCTCTCCCCAATGGACTGGAGCATTTAGGTAATTGAGTTCCATTAAGAAAATTAGTAGCACATACTACATATAATTGCTTGTTCAACTCGGGTCTAGGAAACTATTAAAAGTGTAAATTATTGACTAACTCTTTTTCACAGCAGGTTTGTTTTGAGAGCTCCCCAATACAACGGTTCTTAGTCTTTTAGGGGTCATAGGCCCTTTGAATAATTTGGTGAAATGTCCTGACCCCTTTCACAGAAAAATATAAATGTGCACAAGTGTACACATATATCACATGTGATTTCACGTATGCACAAGATGTCTAGCTCATGGACACTTCAGGGCAGAGGTCAACAACTTTTCCTCAAAAGGGCCAGAAGGTAAGTATTTTTGGCCATTTGGGCCACATACAGCCTCCGTCATGATCACTCAACTCCTTTGTTGCCACGCAGAAGCTGACAGGGCTGTGTTCCAACAAAACTTTATTCATAGACACTGAAATGAGGGTTCCACATAGTTTCCACGTGCCCCCGAATACTATTTTTCTTTGCATCTTTTTGGCCATTTAAAAGCTAAAACCATTCCTCCCTGGCAGTCTGGACAAAAACAGGTGACACATGTGACCGTAGCTGGTTGCCCCCCACTAGCGGGTGTGGGTTCTAGATACGAAAGTATTGCATCTATTTTTGCTAACTTCTAATGGGGATTTCACATTTTCTTCCATTGTGAATGCAGGTAGCAAATCTCAGCAGTGTCAGCAGTAATGGACTTGGCCACCAGCAGAAATCACAGGTACGTTCATACCATATGAGAGTCGTTCCAAACAGCACAGAATATTGATCATGAGCATCACTATTTTTAAATTATGGTCATTGTTGACCTTCCCCTGTATCTTGCTATTTAAATGTATTGCTAAAGAAGCACATACGTTGTTATGTCACAGCTCTGACTTTAATATTTTGATAACCATATTTCAGTATCATTGATTTCCCTTCTAACCCCATATATTTCATTTTCTGGATTTCATTTTCAGAATTCTGAGAAGCATTCCCAAGCTTTCACCAAATACCAACGAGGTCCCTCATCCAGAAAAGGCTCAGAGGGCTGAGCGGGCGAAGCCGCAGCATGGCCTACCAGGGCATTGACGTCCTCCGTCTTGTGGATGAGCATCCGTATCTCCTCCGGATCGCCGCTGAAGATGGCCTGGACCAGGGGCGGCTGTAAGCACAGGAGAGTTGGAATTACAACTCTAATTAAACACACTTGATTGTGTTCAGAGGCAGATGGCTGGAAAATTTCATACCCCGAAGTCGATTGAACAACTGTCAGTTGGCAAACAAGAAGGAACATGGCTCAGACCCATACTCACTAGAAGTCTCGTGGGGAAGACATCTGCATAAAGAAATGACTGTCATACGATTTGAAATCCGTGACAGTCACATCTAACCCGGGGCTATGAGTATAACGTGAATGTCACCTGTAGTTGAAATTGTCCTTGACAGGCCCTCAAATTCCCCATCAAGGAAACCACCAGATCTGTGGCTTCTGCACACAGTCCTCCTGCCGTCCTGCCCCCTCTCATTACACAGTGTCCCCTGAAAGCCTCAAACAATTCCATTCCTAGAGGATTAACGGCCATGTTTCTGCTTTGGCCATTGAACGCTGTCAAAGTTCGGAAAACTTTGCAGTCATTCCCAACATTTCCCACAGCTTTAGCCAACCAGCACTGAGTATTTTACACATGATCACACCCACTGCCTGTTCAAGGATGTGGAACAATGGCGGGTTAAAGGATGGAAGGGCATTACTGAGTGCGTATCACTGAAACCCCTACACTAAACAGGATCCAACACACAGCAGACAGACTTATAAAGTGTGCTGGAAACACGGCTGAAAGAGAAACTAGCTCTGCTGGGGGAGTAGGAAGGGCGAGGAAAAGAGTGCACCCAGAAAAGCGTCATGGGAGGCAGCTTGACTCTGAGTTTGCAAACAGGCAAGGAAGGGCACCCCAGGCAGAGAAATGAGGGTGTGCAGGTGTGAATATACAGAGAACCCGGAATGTCAGAAGTGCTGCCCAGAAGTGGTGACCAGAGGGTGGGGTGAAGGGGAGCAAGTGGTGGGCTCTGGTTGGTGCTGGGCTTGCCCCATGTCACGAAGAATCCTGTTCAAAGCCAGCTCTACCACATGCCAACTACATGCTAAGTGCATGTCCCATGTGTGACCTGGGGTAAGCATGATCTTTGCTGCCCAGCCCCTCACAGGGCTGTTATTAGGAACAAATGAGATACTCTGTGGGAAAATCCTTTGTAGCCATACAACCCTACACAGTAACATGTTTTCATCAAGAAATGTTTAACAATGTGAATATAGAATATTTGACCATTTTTTCAAACTTTCGAAACCTCAGCAGTTACACACACACACTCATTCATTTACTGACAACTGTTGTTAAAACTCTAGTCCTACCAGGCAATTAGAACATAGTTTCCCAAACTTGTTTGACCACAAGAATCACCTGAGATCCTTTTTAAAACAATATGCCCAGATCCCTTCCCTGGAGATTCTGATTTAGTATGTCTGGGGTGAGAACCTGTGCATTTAGGTTTTTAATAAACACCCAATGAATTCTTAGAAAGTGGCAAACACCAGCTCAAGGTAAAATCTTTAGCACTGACAGCCTCAACCTCCTATCTATGTGAGAATCCCAGTGTTCATTTTTCCTACAAATTTTCTTTTCTCCTTTTTTACCATCCAGTTGTCTTTCTTACAGGTTTTAATGGCATTTCTTGCTAATTGGCCGGACCAATATAAGTATTATCAGTGGGATAAATAAGGTCTGTCTGGAAGGTACCAGCCACATAATATGAAAAGGAGAGACGTTTATTAAGTAAGACACAAGATACAAGAAACACTGTACACAGGACAATGATGCCTCAGTCCCCTTCAGAGTAGGCACCTGTGGACCTCACACAGTTCTCCCTATCACCATCAGCTGCCCCATCATATTTTCTTGAATCTCATTGGCAATCTGAAATCTCTTCACTTTCAAAGGTGATTTTAGTGAAAAGCCAGAAGTCACAGGGTCCCAAACCTGGGCTATAGAAGGAATGAGTCACCTGAGACTTGATGTCTTGCCAAAAAAAACTCTGCATGAGATGTGATGCGTGAGCAGGTGCATTGTTGTGATAAAGCTGCCAATCATCTGTTGCCCATAGTTGCAGCCTTCTGAATCATCCAAATAGTTTCCACAGAGGAACGTTCAAACTCAGTGCAAAATTTGATGCAGATTCATTGCTCTACTCACTCAGCCATTTTAAATGCGATGGCCACACAGTGCACATGCTCACTCAATGGTGTCTACCACCCACACTGACTAGTACAGTTTAGTTGTCACTGTTCACACATGCGCATTCCAGTCCTCTTTCCTTGGCTGCCAGGTTACACTGATGTAGCACACACTGTTCTCGTTACGCGAACATAATGGCTGGGATTTTTCCGGACAGATCTCGTATATAGTAAAAGCACTTGAGCAAACGCTATATTAAAAAAATGTTAAACCGTAGATAAACATTTCAATATGCCAGGCACTTGTCCAGTTTTCTCCTTTGCTATAAAAGTTTCTAGCAAGTGAACAGATGTATCTTTTTTTTGCCCAGAATACTCTGTCAGTTCTACCTTTTGGCCTCAAATTGCCAACAATTAAGTTGCAGGGAAGAAGACTTAAAAAGATGCAAGTTTTCTATGAGCTCCGCGTCAGCTGGCTGCTCTGCCTGAGCAAGGAGACCCTGCCACTGCCTGCTCACCCAGGCCCCGGGCCATCTGCCAGGGCAAGGGCAGGACGTACTTCCTGTGAAACACAGAGTCCGACACAAAGTCAGGGTTGCAACAAAAATGCTGAATCTCGTTTATCTGATTCATAATCCTCTATCAGCTGTGCTCCCGGCCAAATGCTTGTGCACACCTTTCTGCCTTTGAGAACTCTGAAACAAACAGCCAACCCTCATAACCACACGGTGACAAGCAGAGGCAGGGTCCAACCCGATTTCAGTGCTAAATCAACAGTGATCAATCAACATTTGAGAAGCTGAGGTGCTGAGGAACAAACCCATCCCCATGATTAATGCACCACTAGTCAGGCACTTGAAGGAAACACAGCTAGGTAAGAAAAGCCTCTCATTACTCATGAGTGCAAGGAATGTGTACAGATATCCTGTCGCATTCAGTCCTTGCACTTCTCAAGAAAGACAAGGGTTCCAAGCAAGTGCTGGAATGTTGCCAGGGAGAGGCACCCGGCAAAGCTGCCAGGCGAGGACGCCAGCACAGCCCTTTAGCAGGGAGGGGTGTGGAGAGCTTCCCAGACACCCCTTGGCACAGTCCCTGAGACTGTTTTGAATCCCCAACAGAGGATGGCGTGAACCCTTGCCCAACACCTCCTCACTCTGCTAAATCTGCTTTGGAGAGTATTGTCAATGCACAGAATTCCCAGCATCCACTGGGAAGTAGAAAATGAGTTGCTGTTGTAACATTTGCAGTATTTCAGTCACACATTCATAGGTATACCCACATGTGCATGCCTACATTTGCACAAGTCCCTACATTTGTGTGTGTGTACACAGAGATGTATGTTGATTCACATACAAATCCTTCACACTTGCTGTGGAAAAAAAAAGTGCCTGTTATTCAAAGTCCGGCTAGATCTCCAAGCCCCGGCTCGGCCATTTAGCCATATGGCATCACCGTCCTCACCACCGTGAGTCCGAGCGTCATGGGATTCCAACCAGAACTTTGCGGACGCATGCTTTGCCTGAACGAAGCTTTGTTTTTGCATGGATGTTAATTCTTGAACTAAACTGCTGTGACTCTTGAGCAAGTTAGTATTTTTGTAAAACCACTATCATGTTTCCTTTTTTTCTCTGTACTCCTCACCCCACACCAAAAACAGGCCCAGAGAGCACTTTGGCATTCCCTTTTGTTGGGGCTCCAACCCAATCCTACAATTTTATGTTTCCCTAGGTACAAACACTGACTCTGAGAATAAATATTTGGGAAAAGATATATCTAAATTCTGTCTCAACCACATCATATTAAGTAAGGTAACTATCCTAATGACAATATTCTTGCTCATAAGTATAAAGTACTTGTACTTTATTAATTACTTTGTTAACCTGTATCTTTTTAGTTTTTGCCTTGACCTTAATAAAGCTTAGAAGCAAGGTCTTACCTGGAAAATACAGAGTCCTAAGCCTTGGTGTTGACGAGTTTCTCGTTTTGAAATTTCACACATACAATACCAGTGTATAAATAATAGGAGTACTTTGTGTGCAACAGAGTATGAAGTCGATAAATAAAAACTCATAACAAGAGTCAAAGTTATGAAAAACAAACAGTGGCAGAAAAAAGAGAGAGAAATTCTGGCACCATGAAAACTTTGATTATCATTCCCTAAAGAAATCTAAACTCTCTTTCAGGAGGAAAGGGGAAGGATTTACAGGAACAATTATAAAGGACACATGGACAACAACTAAGGGGGGTGGAAATGGGAGGGAGGTGGGGAGCATGGGGGGGTGGGCTGGGATGGGAGTAAAAGACAGAAAACTGTACTTGAACAACAATTAAATTTTTTAAAAAAGAAATCTGAACTCTTAAAAGAGATATGCAGCCATTTCAGCTTCAATCACTAGAATTTTCTTAGCTTGCTTAGCAGCTATAAAGTGGAAATGACTGCTACGTGCTGTGGATATTGTCACAGTCCCTCACATAGGTGCACAGGGCACAAGAATACTTCCTGGGCTACTTGACTAAGGGTACAAGTGGGGTTCAATGTTCAGATGAGACCTATCCTGTTTTAACATCACCAAGTACCCAGACACTACCATCTTTGCTCCAAGTGTTGACTGCCATCTTCTTAAGGTGACTGCCTGCAAGGCTGAGACATGCAGAGCAGAGCAGAGAGGCCCCTTGAATTTGGCAGCCATTATAAATTATGTAGCTAACACTGCTAACACTAGAAACTGAAAATGGATCAGCAAAATGTTAGTTTCTCTATGCACATCCCTATCAGCCCATATGATGCAACATTTCTCAATTTTGTCCTCAGTCTTTGAAAACGAATTGATAAAATACCTGATTGCCACAAATAAAATGTTAAGCACAGACTGAGTTGGTATTCTCAAATGTTGCAATACAGTTATAATTCCACTAGGGGGAGCAAGATGGTA